CGAGAGGAGGAGGGGAAAGGGTAGCAGGAGAAAGAGGAGAGGGATGAGAAGGAGTAAGAAGGAACGGAAGGAAGGAGAAGAAGGAGGAGATGGAGAAGGGGTGGAAGAGTGTCCTGCCCGGCTGCCTGACTGACATACATACAAATTCGAGACGTCTCCACCTTTTCTCATTTCCTGTCCTGCCCCTCACGCCCTCATCTCCCCTCACTCCTCATGCCCTCATTATCCCTCACACCTGCCCCTCCCTCATCACCCATCATCTTTATCCCCCATCAGTTAACACGTCCTTCATCCTGTCCCCTCATTCCCTTTACCCCTCGCTCGTCTATCACTCGTTCCCCTCATTAACACTTCCCCTCGGCCGTCGTCCCCTCCCCCATTACGAATAAATAAATGAATAAATAAATAAAAACAAATGATATGACATTAAATTTGTAATAATAACAAAAGTGTAGAAGCAACTGTCACTTAAGTACATTGATTTAACCCTTTGAGTACAATGATTTAACCCCTTGAGTACAATTAACCCTTTGAGTACAATAACTTAATCCCTTGAGTACAATTATTAACCTTTCTCTCACCATTTACACATATCTAACTCCCCCAACAGCGCCTTCTTCAGGAGTGAGTGAGTTTCTCTGCTGTGAAAATAATGCCCAAACCTTAAGACAAGTGATGGAAAGCTTAATACCACAATTATTTATATCTTTACCAAGCTTAAGGTATGATTAATTAGTCGGTTCACGCTGGATTAAGCTGGTGTGGTATAATTAAATGGTATTGTGTTTTATAATTGGTGTGGTGTGATTAGTTAGCTGGTGTGGTATAATCAATTTGGTTAGTTTAAGTGTTTAATTATCAGGTGAAATAAGTTGATATGTCTCGTCATATCTCTAGGTAGACACACACACACACACACACGCACACACACACACAGCAACAAAACCACACACACACACACACGCCAGACAGCTCAAGTCTAGACCAACAGAAAAACGTCTTTTATATATAATTGAGTTGCCCCCCCACCTCTCTCTCCCTCACCCTCCCTCTCCCTTCTCCCTGACCATCTTACCTCTACCTTTCTCCCTTTTTCTGCCTACTCTCCCTCTCCTCACACCCCCCTCCCCCTCTCTCTCCCGTCTTTCTTATCATTGTACATCTTTTATGCCTTCTCCTCTACTCCGCCTTTCTTTATATCTCCATCTCCTACTCTCCCTTTATCCCTTTTCCGTCATCCCCCCTCTTCCTTTTCACATTCTCCCCTCTCCCTCCCATACCCTGCCCATTTATTTATTTTCTCTTTCCCCCTCTCCCTTTTCAACCCCTCTTCTCTTCTTCTTTTCTTTCCTACCATTCCTTCCCTTTTTCACTCCCTTGTCTACCACCCTCTCACTCCCCTCCCTCACCCCTCGTCCTTCTTCCAGGTCTCTCTCTCATTCTACTCTCTGCTCCTTCTCCCAGCCTCTCCCTGACCTCCTTCGCCTCTTTCCCAGCCCTCCCTCACCCTTCTCCCAGTCCTCCCTCATCCTTCTCCCAGTCGTCCTTCATCCTTCTCCCTGCCTTCCCTCACCCTTCTCCCTCGCTCCGGTACATGACAACCTCACAACAGCTTGAGCCGGGATAAGGGCGGGTGTTGCATGCTGATGAGGGCCGTCCACAAGACCAGGGGGGGGAGGACGTTCTTTTTTTTCCTAAGTTTACCCTCTCTATAGATCGTCCGTTTTCTTTACAGTTTTAAGTATGAGTAATATATAATTTTTTTTCTATATAATTTAAGTAGTGGAGATATAACGTTTTATAAGCAAGGTTTATTATGTTATATTCAACCCTTGTCTCGACCCAGTGAGAATGTGTATCTACAGTATATCTGGCACCCTTAAGCTACGGTAATATAGATAGGGAGTAAAATGGCGTCTTTATTGCCGTGAGGCTCGACTAAAGGTGTAGATTACCCTCACTCCCATTCCACCCCCCCCCCCTTTAACCTATCACACACCACGCGACAAAGAACGATAACAAAGTCAATTACCCATATGCTGCTACTGTCACCCGTATTTAATTAGAATTTATGACAAGCCTCGCGACAAAGTACGTGGAGAAGCGTCCTCGTGTTTGTTAGAATCCACTACAATCCAGTTTGCTCTACGAACGCTAACAAGCTGCCTGGCAATCTTCGAGACCCCCAGCGAGACCATCACCCTCCTAGGACTCACTAACTCACAAGGTCGGTTCTCTTGTGTTGGTGGCATAGGAACATCCACCTTATCTGACCCCTGACCATCCGAGGTTAATGACCCGACTAGGCCCGGGCTACGACACACTTTATGACGTCATCACCTCCTTGAGTCAGTTCAACATCCGGATTAACTTTTTAGCGTCTAGAAAAACACCAATTCCCCCTTTTTTCGTTTTTTTTACAAGTACCTCCTTCTTGTTAATTAATTTTCTTTTATACTTCATTGTGCATCAAGAATTTTGTAAGTGTTTGTGCTTGTTTTGTTTTTTTTGTTCTTTTAGTTGACAACATTTGATCCTCTGAAGATTAGACACCCCAGGTTATTTTACTTGAGGATTAAACTCCCTAACGCTGTATGGAGGGGTTAGGTTAGTTAGGTTACAAGGAAAACCACCTGTTACCACTTACTGGAGGAGGACCCCCCTTCACCACTCACTGAAGGAGGATCCCCCTTCACCACTCACTCGAGGTGGACTCCCTTCATCACTCACTCAAGGAGGACTCCCTTCATCACTCACTCAAGGAGGACCCCCCTTCACCACTCACTCAAGGAGGACCCCCCTTCACCACTCACTCGAGGAGGACCCCCTTCACCACTCACTCGAGGAGGACCAGCACCTCCTGGAGATGCCTCACGTGTAGATATAAAAGTAAACAAACAAACAAGAAAGATGGCGGCGACAAAGGAGTTGAAAATAACATCCACAACCTCACTCACCGACAGCTGTTAGATGACATAAGAACGATGATGAAGGAGGAAATAAGAGAACGGGAAGAATAAAGAGGAGGAGAGAAGCGAATCGGAGAAGTGGCAACAATATTCGCTAAACACAAGAGACGAGTATCAACAAACGGAGGTGAACAAAGGGAAATTTGAGTGAGGTTACTACTTCACGTACACAACAAGCACTCATGTACACACCTACACGTACACAACAGACTCATGTATACACGCACATAATCCATACACAGCCATGAGTACATATAAAACGATTCCTCTCCTTATGAATTATTACGTAAACCCAAATACATAATTATAGAAGTTTTCAATTCTTTTACCTGAACATTTTCTTAACACATTTCACGTCAATTATTATCAAACTAATTATGACACTTAAATTATTTTTCTTTGGTGAAGTCTTACATCTTAGAGGGTAATTCGTCTCTCTGGGGGAGGGAGGAGGGGTGGTGGGGGTGAGGGGGGAAGGGAGGGGAAGGGTGGTGGGGGTGAGGTGAGGGGGGTATTTCTCCTACTAATGATCAGGAAAGTTTGAGAAAAATGAATAAATTCGTGGTTGCCTTGTTATACACATATACTTAATACACCAACATTAATACATACACGTATATACATAGTACACTGTTTAAGTTTATCATCACGAAGACTACTGGCGGGGTCCGTTCACTCGGATTTATGATATCCCCCTATTTACCGCTATAACTCCGGGTTACACAGCCGAGAGGGATTCTCCCGTTCTACACCCAACTCCCTAATGAGTCTAGGAGGTGAAGGAGCTGTAATCCCGACGTAAATCCCTCCTAATCCCCGGTTAGTGGCCAAGATGTGGGAGAAGGAAGGATTATTAAGCACTCTTGCATCTTCAAGTCTTGAGAGTTTGGCCAAGTGCCAGTCTGGTATGCTGATGGTGATGTGATGGGTGGTGGTGAGGTGGTGCTTGTTGTTGTTGTTGTTGTTGTTGTTGTTGTTGTTGCTGTTGTTGTTGTGGTGATGGTGGTGTGTGGTGGTGGTGATGTTGCTGTTGTTGTTGTGGTGATGGTGGTGGTGGTGGTGGTGAGGTGGTGCCTGTTGTTGTTGTTGTTGTTGTTGTTGTTGTTGTTGTTGTTGCTGTTGTTGTTGTTGTTGTTGTTGTTGTTGTTGTTGTTGCTGTTGTTGTTGTGGTGATGGTGGTGGTGGTGTGATGGGTGGTGGTGGTGGTGGTTGTTGTTGTTGTTGTTGTTGTTGTTGTTGTTTGTGTTGTTGTTGTTGTGGTGGTGGCGCAGAGAGGCAGTGGCATAGAGACAGCGGCAGAAAGATAATGATAGACAGTATAGCAGAGGCAGAGGCTGAAAAATCTCTGGCTAACACACTGAAACCACCTTGGGGGACGTGTTACTCATATGTCTGTTGAGTAATTGACGAGAGAGAGAGAGAGAGAGAGAGAGAGAGAGAGAGAGAGAGAGAGAGAGAGAGAGAGAGAGAGATAAACAAGGAATCTCTACCAGACCGAACAAATTGGTGAAAATGTTTAATAAAATTTCTAAGTTATTATTTATCATTATTATTATTATTATTTATCATCTATTGTTATTTTTTATTTATTATTATTATTATTATTATTATTATTATTATTATTATTATTATTAATATTTATCTTTTATTATATCAAGACCTTATCGTAGTGAAGAATGAGTTCGAGCCTAAGCTAATTATTTTTCTGTAATATAAACACTAATTAATATTTTTCTTCTCTCTCTCTCTTTTCCTCAGACACAACAAAGAACGGCGATGAATAAACTCCTTCTCCTCCCTCCCTTCCTATCCTCCTCCTCTTCCTCACCCTCAACCTCCTCCTTCTCCTCCTCTTCCTGTTCGACATCCTTTTTACCCTCCTCCTCTACCTCATCCACATCTTGTTTCCCTTCTTCTTCCTCCTCTTTCTTCACCTCCTCTTCTACAACGTTTCCCTCCTCATCTTCCCCTTCTCACATCTCTTCCTCATATCTTCCTTCTTCTTCCTCATCTCGCATATCTTCTCCGCCT